AACTAGCTAAATTAAGGCACTGAAAGCTAAACTGATTTGCTGAAGGTCAAATAGCCAGTGAGTGGTGTGAATTGAACCCAGGAGTCCTGCCTTTCAGGCTGCGGTTCTAACGGATGTCACCGTGTCCTCAAAAATAAAATAAAACAAAATCTAATGTGACTACATAGCATTAAAGTGAAAAGGGAGCCAGTTATGTTCCCATCTCTAGAAAGAGGGTGGCACTGCAAATTATGCAAATACCCAGAACACTCAAGCGGAGATGACAATGAAATACCAATAAAACTGATTAATATCCTTGAAACTGGGGGAAATGGGATGATCTCCAATCCTGCCTTTAATGACTTTTCTAAAGAGAAAGTGGTGAGAGGACTGGTGAAAAGGTTTGAAAAAGAATTAAAATGAGATTTGTAATGAAACTGTAAAATATAATTATAAACTGTGAAGCATTTTTTTATTATATTTTTTTAAAAGAGAAACACAGTCAAGGGCTTCAAGGCAGAATTGGAAGCAACAAAGACAATTTGCAGTGAATATCAGTTTTCCTGAAATCTCATCATTAGATGCACTGGCATTCAGAGCCCCTTGTCTTGGAACAGAGAAGCGCTTAGAGCCATTCTCTCCTTTAAATAACAACAAATCCCCAGGTAGCGCCAGCCTGGCAGAAAAGTATTATAAAACATTTAAGGAGATCACAGCATTAAGCCAGGACTGGAAATGCTAATGATGCCCAGTAAAGTGTGGTTGGCTTTGCTTTTCCCCTGTATGAATTGTTGCTAATTTCAGTGTTGCACAAAGGGAATAACCAAGTTTGACATTCAGAATTGGAGGCTGATTTATCTGTTTGGATAGCAGCTCTTGTAATGTGTTTACAGAAAGCAGAGGGAGGGGGGACCAGAGAAGAAGGCTTCTCATTCTGTTTCTCCCAGCTAATCCTGAACAGAGAAGCAGTGAATAATGCACTGAGGGGCTAAAAGGAAACTGGAGAGCACAACACCTCTTCATAGTGAGGCCTGATCTGTATTAAGCTATATTTGAATTTTCAAGGAGATGCCTTAAACTTGGGAAAGATGGGACTTGCACTCATGTAATCTTACCCTGGTTGTAACTAGGTGAAGCAAGGTCCTTTCTTGAGCTGGTGCACGTATCAGTATTTGAGGTTTGTGCTGCCATTCCTACATGGAGAGCATGACATGGATCTGATTTCCTTAGCTGAAACAAGCCTTTAGAGCTTTGATCAGTGCTAAAGCAGCCTACTACACGACCCATAACTGTATGCTTGATAGCTTTTAAATGTTGCCAAACACATAAATGCTTTGGTCTTCTCAAGCTGTGCTTTCTGGTATTTGCATGGGAATAAGCCAGTCCCTCTGATCAAGGGGTGGATGGCAAACGTGTTGGAGACAGCTCCAGGTGCAAGATGAAGGTGCCCTTGTTTAGCATCTGGAATCAGAACTCTGGGTAGAGGTGATATCTTTTATTAGGCCAGCACAGTTTCTCAGTAGATGCCAGTGATCAAGGAAGTTACAAGCATCCCCACCTCTCTGGGAAAAGACAAACAAAGGCAGAGGCTGAAGAGAAAAATCCTTTCACAGCAGATGAAGACACATCTTTGAAGGGAACTTTAAATGAATGTGAGCCAACTTCACTATACCCAGTTCCAGAGCCAACCTGCATGAAAGCAGAGCGGCAAGGGCCACATAACCTCAGACATAAGCAGCTTTCCCCCTGCAGAGCAAGCTGTGGCATTGGAAGGAGAAACACTAGAGCAAAGTGGAGTGACAGTGATCAGGTAGGGAGTTGCAGAAACAGATGCTGAATGAAAGCGAAGGAGAGCAAATGCATTGCACCAGGCTGGATTAATAGCCCAGTTACCTTTATTGCCCTTCCTTCTCTCCGCATTCATTTTCTTTCTTACATTCACTTGTTTGCTCCTTTTTCCCCTTCTCAGAACAATTAGTGCTTGATTTGTACAGCTGCTCACCCTTAATTTGATGGGGCAGACAAATAGTGTAAAACCCTAGTGTGATCTGCCTCCATCCCTTCAAAGCCTGCTGAGGCAAGGACAGGCAGAGGGGTCATCACACGGGCACTTCACTGCTTTCTGCTTTTTACATCCTTTTTAGGCACTTTATTTGTATCCCTGCATTCTGTGGAGTCGGGTCAAATCCAACATACTGGCTCCAGAACTGGGCTTGCCCCAATCCTGTAGGGCGCAGGCAATGATAGGGCATGGATAATTGCATTACAATAATTTGGTTAGGAATGGGTGGGAGGGCGAGGGAAAAGCCTGGATGGAGAATCTCTCCCTTCTTGCACCAGGGATGCCCCTCACCTGCTCTCCACAGCTTGCCATGCTGGGAGCTGTGGCTAGGAAGTCCAGCACCCAGGTCAAACATGGCATTTTTTCTCCATCCTAAGCCTTGCAGATGGGTTGGAAAATAAAAGTAGATCCAGCGATAACTGATATGATCCTTCCCCCCAGCATTGTGGAGAGGTCAGAGTTG